AGAAAAAAACCTTTAAAGCTGTGTCTATGTTCGAATCTTTCCAAATCTCTCGGAGTCGATTCAGAGGGTTCCAATTTGATTCGGAGAGATTAAAGGGTCCTCTGATTTGATTTGGAGATTCAGCCACTGAATCGGGCTGAATCTCTGCCAAATCGAATCAGGGACCAAAGCTTCGCACAGCCCTAATGTCAACTGAGCATAAGTATACTCACGTTACTATTTAAAAATAAGGCTTCTAACTATCAGAGCAGTGAAGTTCTGGATTCGTGGTTCAATGGGAGTCGTGAGGCTAGATTAAAGGTATGCTTTGTTCTGTTTTTGAATGACAGCATGGTCACCTGCAATACCAGGGGACCAGATTTGATGGCTCAGGAGATCCTCCCATACCTAGAGGTCAAAACAAGCTATTATGCATCAAGAGAAACAAAGATTCAAGGGAGAAACAAAGAATTCAGGGTAACAATGACAGCAACAGCTTAGTTTTCTGCCCCTATCACAGTCAGTTGGTATATAATTCCTAATTAAAAAAAAAAAAAAAAGTGTTTCTTTTTGAGTTGCTATCATTCCCCACTTGAGAAGCACAGGGACTGAAAAATTCAAATGAGAATTATCCCATGGGACTATGCCTCATACAGAGAAGCATAGCTATAATCTCAAAAGAGCTAAAAGGGAAAAGTGAGGTGCAATATGTTCTGCTTCACTGACTCCATATTAAAATCACTTAGTTTACGGGGTGGGGGGGGGAGATGTTAACAACAGCCAGTCTTGCAAACTAACCTGAAATAGAGAAATTAAGATTCTTTTTATCCAGGTTTACAACTTGGAATTCAATTTTCAATTCTGCAAATGGTATCAAAGTCAGAATAAAACATAATTTGTTCTCGACTAATTTATACTACAAAATACTGGTTTCTAATATACCAGCTTAAATTGCTTTACTGCTTGAGAAATATTGTCTCGACAAGGGAAAAAAAAAGAGAGAGAAGTGCTTCACATGTTTAACAAGCATGACGGTAGCTTTACAAACGATCTCTGTTCAAAGCTGATCTCACAAATGCCTGACCTGACATGGACATCATCAACCCACCTGCTTGGACAGGGAAAGGGAGAAAAGAGTATCCCAGAAGGAGATAAAGACAGGAAATGGAGAATGCAGAACCCAGGACAATACAGACTTGCTGTCGCAAGCATGCAACACTGGGCAGCGTCAAAATGATGGTGGTTTTGGTTTTTTGGGGGTAAAGAACAAGTGAAGTCAAATGGTCACAACCAACATTTGGCCCCACAGTGAAAAATGTCACTTATTTGACTTGAGTGGTGGTCCCCTACCTACTAGGGGACCATCAGGAAGGGCAATCATCAAGGATATTGAAACTACCTTAATTCTGTGTCTAAACTTGAGACAGATGCCTAATTATGGATGGGCTGTAGTCTTCTCTCTCCCTAAATGCCAAAAAGTCTCAAAGTTTGAGAGACTGTAAGGCTGGAAGGGACCTTGGAAGATCACTGGGTCAAACGATACTTGTTTTTAAACACACAATGCATCTGAGAAAACTAAAATAACATGTTTTAATATATGCTCTGTTAATCTGGAGCACAGGGGTGAAAGGATATTTTGGAACAACTCATGTTGCTGGAACTGCCAGCAAAATTTTTACCAGTGGATACAGCTCTCCCACAACAGTTTTATGACCTTCCCAGTAGCTTAGTGCTTTTTTACTGAGACATGGCAAATCAGCAAATTAATCAAGAGCTGGCCCAGTCCTTTGTTGATCTTTGCCTTCATCCAGATCTCTCTTCCTTTTTGAATATGTCTTGAGCTTTAAAATGAAGTTCCCATTCATAATCCGATCTTTCAAGTTCAGATACGTCTGACATTGATTCTACGACATCATTGCTTTTGACATCTGACAAACGAATTTCCATTTTTGTCCACATTTTAGCTAACTGAAATTTGGCGTGGACTTTATCCTCTTCTGTCAGCAGAAAATGATATCTAGGATCAAGGTGAATATATATGTATATATAAAAAACTACAGGGGATATGGAGGTTGGGATCGGACTCTGCATCTGACTTCAGTGGGGAAGTCTGTTTGGGGCATGGGCTCTGCCATTGCCTCAAGTGGAACAACTGGAGGGAGGGGTTTCTCCAGAAACTGGGGGGTGGATGGCATGATAGAGACCCCTTTAATAGGGAAAAATGGGTGGGAAGCCATTACAGGAGTCGCGCTCAGGAGATTCTCTGTCCATCTTTGGGGCCTCTGCAACCTCACTTGAGGTGCATGGCCTAAACTTCCCCTCTGCTTCTGTACTCGTGAGCCTACCTCCTCTTCTCCTCATTATCTCCTCAATATACTAGGAAAGCCGTTCTGGTAGCAGTCACATCTATTCATTATTTAAATTGTCCTGTTTTATTTTTTTGAAATAAGATCACAATAGGTTCTTTTAAAAAATATGGATGTAAAAATTGCTGAATTCGAGTTTAGTCTGAGTTCAGGTTGGGCAGACGGAACAAAAATGATGAATTGGCATTGGCTTCAATTGAAGTAAATATAAAAACAGTTCAAGCTGGTTCTCCGATTCCAGATGCACACTCTTCCACCTAGATGGATGGAGGGATCCTCCACTTATCCTTCTTCTAGTGATGAAGCATCCTCCACCTATCCCTCACTTAGTTTGCACCGGACAGTAAACTAATTAATGGATGGCTGAAGAACCCGCTTGGGACCAGGTGCAAGGAAGATAATGAGGAAAGTATCACAGCGGGGTCCTACAGGAGGGCCGTGATCTCCTTAAGGCCCCCTTCCTCCGTGCCAAGTTGGCCCAAGGGCACCCTCTGATTCTCGCCTGCCACGCCTGCACTGGGGCTTCTCAGACGCCCCTCTCTGGGGCTGGGGTCTATGCACCCTGCAAGCTGCGCCCTTACTGGCGCCGGGATCTCCTATGAGGCCTCCTCCAACCCCTAATGGCCTCACCCAAACCACCGGTGTAACAACAACACAAACTCAAGCCTCTTGGCTACAACTTAAACATAAGCCACCTGGCTGTAACAACATTGCTCGGGCATCTTGGAGCTGCTCCCCTTTACTCTGCTAGCGGTACCTCCAGTCAGGCTTCTCCTCGCACCATTGCTCCAGGAGCTCCTCTCTCTCTGGCTGTTGGCGGGGAACTGCCTCCGGCCTCAGCCCCTGGGCTTTATAAGAGCCAGGCCTTGCCCCTTACAGCCAGCTGACCGCTGGCAGGTGTGGGTCGTTTGGCGACTCCTGTTGCCCTGGCAACCACCAGCTGGGCTCCTTATTCACTGCTAGAGCTTTTCCTCTAGCAGTTTCTCCTCTTTAGGAGCAGGGCATCTCGGTGCTCTGCAACAGAAAGGAATGCTGTACATCCTGCCATTTGGGCTACAGGAGGACGCTTCAAGGCTGAGATACCAGCTTTTATGACCGACATGACCTCAAGTTGAGATAACGACGATGGATGAGGAACGTCCAAATAGAGACTGAGGATGGAAAAACTCCAATATGCTGAACGGAAAGAGTTGCGATCCCTAAATAAGAGGGATCCAAAAATGCCAAGTTGGATGAACTCTCGCTCTCTGCTAATCTTCACTGGAGCACAGGCGCGTCTGCTCACCTCGCTCCGACCTTCGTCTTCCTCAATAGGCCTGCGCCGGCCACCCAGTGCCAATACTGAATAGCCGCTGCTGGTGGATGGAGTGGTTGTTTTGTGTATGTTCATGGTGATATGTGTATGTTTGTATGAGTGGTGTGTGTAAACTTAGGTCTCTGCAACTTTAAATCAATAAACACGGCATTTTGCATTATCCTCCTTTATAAGGTCTCGCTCTTGATTTGATTAATTAGAATTTCTTAAATAACACTCTCCCCCTCTATGGAACCTACTACTTGCTACAGTCAAAGACAGGATACACGGCTAGATGGACCAGTGGCCTGATTAAGTGTGGCACATCTTAGTCTTACTTATGACAATCAAAACTGTGCACCTCCCTGAAACAAGCGAGAGCTCTATTTATTATTTTTTATGGCAAAAGATTTCTTCAGATATTCTTAGACCCAAAGGACTGGGACAAATCGAGAAGATGGGGGTACCACTTACTGCTAGCCACAGCTACAACAACTTGGCCAAGGAAAGAGAACAAAAAATCTTTTGCTTGTCCTCTGCTATGCTCCATTATATAAGGCAGGGGTGCACCGATGAAGATTTTTTTGGCAAATGCCGATGGCCAGTTATTAACCAGCCACATTGGCCGATACCGATGCAAAAGCTGACATGCAGCCTGGCAGCTTGGAGAGCAGTGTCCGACAAGTAAGTCTGTGGGGGAAAGAAGGGCCATGAGGGGCACAGATCAAGGCCCCCCATGGTAAGGGAGGGAGTGGGGCTGGGGTAGGCGCTGCTCAACTGGGCCGGAAGCAGGGCAGAGCCTGGGGGGTGTGGGCAGGTGGGGAGGGTGGGTGGCTCCCTGCCACTGCGTGCACCCCCAAGATAGGCATGGGGAGCATGTGCCCCCCCAGATTTGAGTGCGGGGCAGAGGCAGACTGTCCGCTGCGGGCTTAGGGCCAGGGGCTGCGCCAACCTCTTCCTAGAGAGGGGCCTGGGCCAGCGCTGTGCTCAGGGCGAGGCAGGAGGCAGCAGCGCTGATGGGGGGGAAGGGGGGTTATGGGGTGGATTACAGCCACCCCAAAATTCCCCATAGCCACCTCTCGTAGCACTGCTGCCACCCACCCCAAGCACAGCCCTGGCCCAGCCCCTTTCTGGGAAGAGGCCAGTGCAGCCCCTGGCCCCAAGCCCGCAGCAAGCAGCCCACCTTCACACTATGCACAAATCTGGGAGGCACATGCCCTCCATGCCTCCCCCAGGGGTGCACATAGCAGTAGGGAGCTTCCCCCCTACTTCCTGCCCCCCAGACAAGCCACCCACAGCTCCATCCCGCTCCCAACGGGGCTGCATTCACATAACAACTATTGATTATTAGGAGATCTTACCTGTATTTTTATCGGCCAGGTGAAGTTGCTGACATAAACAAAGAAAGTGATGTTTGGGTTGTTGCGAAAATCAAACTTCTCGTTAGAGAAGCTGTCCTTGTACTCCTTTATATTGGTCTTTGAAATCACTGGAATCTCCTCTCCAGCTTGGGTACCAGCTGTTTTAAGAATTTAAAAGAGAAACAGTAAAAACATTTTTCAGTACAAATCCTCAGTGATATTCACAAGTGGCCAATTAGTCTTAGTTATAGATTAAGGCAATTCACTATTACAATGACAAGAAAAGTCAACTACTCATCTAATTTCAATTTGGAGTTTTATTTCATCAGCACAATCGCACAGAAAAAAGTGCATTAAAAACAAAAATTAGCTTTTCAACCACCTCCAACACATCGTCAAGTTGGGAGGATGTGCAAATTGGAGGAGAGGAAAAACAATGCCTTTTCTAATTATATTTCTTCTTCAAATCCTGACTTCTAAAACATAATGAATAAAAAAAGAATTTCTCAACTAAATCTGTGCACCACAACATTGTATTGGTTTCGAGAAGACATCAAACAAACTAGTTCACATTCATCAATCACATATTTACATAAATATTTGGAATACTTTGGCTTTTACCTGCAAAACTTGTTGACCAAGTAATGTTGAGGTTGAAGTTTTTAGATGCATTGATAAACATATCCAGGTCTCTGTTTTGCTAATTAAAAAAAATTAAAGCAAAAAAACAGGAAAGAACATTTAGCAGATGCAATGCCATTAAAGCTGCTCTGTTTTGAAAGCAATGCTCACAATAAGTCTCAGAAATACAGGCATTTCACACCATATTTAATAGACTCCTCACTTACATCAAAAGAACTCAAAAATCATTCCAGACATTTGTTTTCAAGATTCATTATACATTAAATAGGGCAGAGCTGTTCATTTTATTTTGAATCGCTCTTCATAAAGGGAATGCTTATGTGAGTGAAACTCCAGATCTCGTTTATTTGGGGGTCTTTTCCTGGTATCTTAAAAAAAATGATGTGGGAATGACTGGATTAGGGAGCCGCGTATAAAGACGTCGATCGCACTGTCAAAGGATTGGGATTTTATTTGTTTGCTTGCTCCTTTCAAATCCATTCCCCCTGCGTCTAAACTGAGAGTTTTACAGAAATCCTCCATTGCTTCCTTCTCCAAATCCCACAAGGAATCCTGTTTTGTTCATTTTATTAAATTCAACCTTTTCTTCTTCAGAGAAGTGTGCACTCATCCATATGCTGTATTTTTTCCAGTGGTATCCCTCCCTTCACTGTTCTTCCAACAAAAGCATTTTCGATGCCCCTTTAAACCTTCCTCTCACTCTGCTCCTCTCGCTGTATTTTTTTTCCCTAATGCCTGCCTGGCAGGAATGAAACCTCATGACATGGAAGAAAATTTTATACTCAGCCGACAGGACAGTACTGATTTGACTTGCCCTCCTGACAGCTTTTTTTTTTTTTCGGTAGTGAGGAATATGAAGTACTAAAAGGGGCAATTTTGTCTTTACCAAAATCATTAGTGGCCTTCTTGCTATCAAGGATCCTCCTGTTATTACTGGCACTGCAGAAGTGCCAAAGCCCCAGTCACAGATCAAACCCTCTTATAGCCGGCTCTGTCCATACAACTGCCAGTTCTCCAGCATCTTACAGTCCAGTGTTGCAAAGCACTTGGGAGACAAAATTACGCAACTGCACAGTGTTGATTCTTTTTAATGGTCTTTCCAAAGATAAGAAGGATAGCATTCATTTACTACAGGGCTTGGACCACAGAAGATTTCTAGCCCTATAGGATCTGAAATTTTTATGAATCCAAAGTCTTAATTCTCATTAATGGTTCCTCCAAAGTGACTGGATACTGCACTCTCTCCCTCTCCGCTTCTGGAGTAGAAGAGGGGCAAACAGAGTGGGCTCTTAGAAGCTCGGTGTCCTTGGTGGCAGAGGAGTCACCATGGACAGGAGGCTACTGCAGATATCTTCACATTACCCAGCAATTCAGGCTGGATGCTTACCTGGCCACGCACATATTCCCATACCAAGAGCAGATGCTTTTCACATGGAGGAAAGGGAAAACAAACCAAGCAACTGTGCAGTGGCATAATTCTGTATTTGCTGTGCAATGTTAGATCAAAACAACACACGGCAAAGAAGCTGGACAATAATCAATAAGCGAAAGCTGGAGGGATTCAACAAAATAGTAACTGAAAGGAGCTGAACTACAGGCCCACACTGCAACTGCCCATACATCTTGTTGGTTCTGCATAGACATGTAAGAGCAAAAGGCACATTCAGAAGTTTCTGCCTAGGCTGTGAAAAGCTATATACCCACGTGCCAACACAGCTCTGTGCGCTTAAAGAACTGGATGCAGTCATGTTCTTCAGTGTTAGGAGATGGCAAATATTTGAAAGAAAATGAGGGTCAGAAGGAAAAGAAATTACTCACCTCTTCAGGCGTTGCTACAAAATTGATTGCTGTATAATAGCGATCATCCTCTTGGGAAAGGCTGAAGGTGAACTGGTAGTCAATAAGAAGAGTATCTGCAAAGAACGCATGCAAAAGATATGAGGAAATGCTCTGAAATAAAACTAACTTCTAGAAATCAAGGCAACCTACTGACTGCTTCCCATACGCTTAGAAAAAAACGCTTCCAACAACAAGGAAGTAGCTTAACTTAATACAGTGCTACGACCCGACCCAACATATTCAGACCCGACCCATTCAGAGAGAGAACATCAGAAATCTTAGAAACCCTACACTCACTCCTGGAAGGTAATACCGTACACCCTACTCTATTCAAATTAATATTTTGGAGGAAGTGGCAAAGAATATATGTATTTTTTTCTTTGTCCCTTCCTCCAAAATACTGATTTGAATAGTAGGATGTACAGAATACACACACACACACACACACACACACACACACTATTTATTGACTGATTTAGATTTAAATTTAGAGAGAGAAAACACGCAAATTAATCAATGTTAGTGTTCATTCTCCAACTAAAGGAGTTTATATAAATTAAAGGATTAAGCTACTATGACCACCAATCCTTTGAGGGAAAATGCACTTTGAGGGTCTAATGCACTTTAACATCACGGAGTTAAGGCTTTCCTATATAGAATCATAGAAAATGAGGGCTGGAAGGGACCTCAGGAGGTCACATCTAGTCCAACCCCTGCTCCAAGCAGGACCAGCCCCACCTGCATCATCCCAGCCAAGACTTTGTTGAGCTGGCTCTTCAACACCTCCAAGGATGGAGAGTCCACCACCTCTCTGGGTAACCTGTTCCAGTGTTTTACTACTCTCCTAGTGAGATTTCTTTCCC